ATCCCCAACCTGGACCCTGAAAGCAGAAAAATCTAGAATGCCAGTGTGGTAGAGTCCGTGTGTTTTAAAATCCTCCTCTTGCAGAAACTCTTGCCTGCGAGAACCCTAACATTCTGGGTTCTAGACACTGGATCCAGAGCTAGGATCTCAGGATGTAGAATTCTAGAAACTAGTCCTCACAGAATCTCAGATTTTAGAACTTTCCAGTCTCAGAATCACAGAAACTCAGCGTTTTCGAACCTTCTGTTTCTAGAGCCCTCACTTGCTAGAATCTTCATTCTGGATGTGGATTCAGGAATGAACATGGAGCTCTAGAATGGGCTGCAGAACCTCAGAACACTAGCACCTCTTTTACCCTAGAACCCCAGTGTTCTAGAAGTTCTGTTTTCTGTCTCCTTTGAAATGCTAGAGCTTCTGGAAATTGCCATCATGGATATTCAGATTTACAGAACTGGTAGAATACCCAGATCGTAGAACCCAGAACATTAGTACTTTAGAACCTTCAGTTTCTAGAACTCTCATCTGCTAGACCAGAGGTTGGCAAATTATGACCTGCAGGGCAAATCCAAAACCCACGGCCTGTTTTTGTGAATAAAGTTTTATTGGAACACAGCCACACCCATTCATTTACACAGTGTCAATGGCTGCCTTCTTGCTACAGTGGCCAACTTGAGTAGTTGTGATAGAGATTATTTGACCCCAAAGCTGCACCTTAAAAGAAAAAGTTTGCCAACCCCTCTGCTAGAACACTGGTGTTTTGGAATTCAGAGCTCTAGAATGGAATTCTTATACTCTGGGATTCTAGAACATCAGTATTCTAGACGGTCTGTATTCTATCTCCTTGGAATATGACAATGTTAGGGCTTTAATATTACAGAATCTCAGAATCATCAAACTGTAGAACTTTCAAATCTTGGAAACCCAGAGCTTACAACTCTAGAAAAATTGGCATTTCTGGGTCTTGGAATGCCCAAATCTAGATCGTTAGAACTTGAGAATTCTACACATCTGGAGCACAGGAGCTCATTCACTCTCAAATTATCTAGTTCAGGGATAACAAAATGGTAGCCCGTCAGCCAAGTCTGGTCCGTGGCTACCTTAAATGCACGATGCTCTAAAAAACAAACTAGTCTGATTGTCTATAGGCAGGTTTGTGGTCTCCAGTTTGCTACAGCCTCCGCCCTCCCAACACACACACACACACACACACACACACACACACACACACACACACACACACTCCCTATTGTATCACACCTGTGGCTTACTTACTCTGCGTGGCACAGTTGGAAAGGAGTGAACTGGAGCTCCAGGTTCAGGCAGCTCTCTGCAGGGGGAGTACAGGCAGATGGGCACAGGGGACCTGACAGCACCCCCCCAACCCCCTTCCTCATCCCTCCTTCCCTCCAGGCCACACTTACGGGCAATGGAGTCCAGGTTGTACTCAGAGCCAGGCTCGTAGTCACAGTAGATGTTAAGGAAGGGGCTGCCCTTGTCCCCTGAATCCTGCGAGAGGAAACTGGCCTCAGGGGAGAGCAGGGGCAGCAAGAGGGATATGGGTCAGACTCAGTAAGGAGGAGAAAATGGGTAGGTGGAGGGCTCTGGGTACCTTGATGAACGTGATCCCCACCACCAGGCCCTGCTTTGGGGGTGACTTGTTGAAGGTGTCGATGGAGACAATCTCTGCGTCCACTGGGAGAGGACAGTTCAAAGTTCACGTTTCAGGCAGACGCGTGATCCCAATATTCCCAATCAACAGTGAGCCCTGACCTCTAGGACTCAGTCATCTCTGACCAGCACAAATTATCATGACCTCTGGGACGGTGTGAGTCCTGATCACCATCACCATCACCATGGTAGGAGGGATCCTGGTTTCTGAGTCTGAGGAATCCTGAACCCTAACTACTTCAGGCCCCTATTAGCCCTGTCCTCTGACCCCAATGCCTCCAGATTACCAGCCTTGACCCCCTTCAATCACCATCACCCTGATCCCATTCTCCCATCCTGGTGACCTGGCTCAGACAGAGCCTCAGAAGCCTTCTCAGCACTACATTCCAAGCCCCCCAGCCCCATGGCGCCACGCACCGGGAATGTAATTGAACTGCAGCTCCTTGGCCACGGGCCGGATTTTCTGTCGGAGGTCTTGGTAGCGGAAGCCTAGCACCTTGCCTTTAAGGGTGGCGGCCAGCAGCTCCCCGCGCCCACCCGCGCCGCCCGCCAGCCCGTACACATTGCTCTGAGACGAGAAGCGTGTGAAGCTGTCCTCGCGCAGCGGACAAGGCCCCGCGGCCACAGCCGCCTCCCCCATCACGCCCCTCAAACACTGGTCCCCGTAGCCCCCGCGGCTGCCCACTCTACGCCACGGACCGCCGGGCGCCGGCCGGTCGCGCAGACTGATTACGTAGAGAAGCTGTCGACGCTGCCCTTACCAAGATGGCTGCCAGCCGGGCCGCTTGGGCTTCCCACCAGACTTTGCCTCAAAGCGCCTGCGCGCTCCTTCCTGGTCCTTTTCAGGGCCGAGGTGACTGCCGCCCACTGATTAAGGCCTGAAGATGAGAGGTGGTGGCCCCTGCTGTGGGCGGCGCGGAAGACGGAATAAGAAGAACCTTAATGCTCAATATAGCCCTTACGTGCCAGGAACTGTTCTAAGCCTTTACATCTATCAATTTTTAGTTAAAACTCACAGGCAGGCTTGAGGTAGGTACTATGATATGTTTTACCGATGAAAAAACTGAGGCACAGACAGGTAATTTGTCTAAGATCACACAGCTAGAAGCAGCAGTCAGTATTGGAACCCAAACACAAAAGCTCCATAGTTTGTTTTAATCACATCACCTTTAAAATGGTGAAATGCATTCTTCTTACCCCAAGGAAACAGTTCTAGCTATCTATCCTGGCTAATCACCACCACCTTCTTTACTGAAAGCCTACTTTATCAGTCATGTTGGCTGATTAGCTCATTGAATCTTCACAGCTACTCTCCTCTGGTTACCCCGCGTTCATTTATTCAGCATTTATTGACCACTGTATGAATTTATCTCCATAAACTGTTGCAACAACTTTGGAAAGAGGTTTATTATCCCAGTTTCTGGAGAATGAAACTGAGGCTCGGGGAGAATAAGTCCCTTGACTGATATGATAGTAAGTGGTGGAGACAGGATGAGGTCTTCTGGGATTCCTGTATATACTTTGTCTCCAGAAGGGCATCAAGGGTTTGGGGACTCTATGTATACCTGTATGTTATTTCCAGAAGACATGAGTTGGCCAGCTGTCCTGGCCACCTTGAGTAATCTTCTGTCACCCCCTTCCATGCAGAAAGAAAACACACACACACACGCACACACACACACTGCAAGATCTGTGAAGGCAGTGACTGGATCTCCCTTGGTCACAGTTAAATCCCCGACGCCTGGCCCACAAGGCCTGACATGGAACGAGCATTTAGTAAGTATGTTAAGAACCCAAAACTATGTACCAGGCCCTTTGCCAAGCACCTGGGACACTGTTGCATAAGAGCCCTGAGAGGAGAGTTCTCAAAGGCAGACGATCTGGAGGGTGGTGAAAAGAAAGGAGTTCGTGTCCACTCCAGATCTGGTTATGCTATTTAGTGCTGTAATCCCAGGGTTTGAGCTAGGGCATGGCACACGGTAGGTGCTGAGTAGATACTTGCTGAGTAAATGGGGGTGGGGTCTGGTTCTGCTGCTTCTGAACAATGTTTTCTTCAGGCTTCTTCTACCTCCCTTGGTAACCGCAAAACCACATTCCCTTCATATTTGAGTGAATGAATAAACAAATGGGTTGGAAAGGAAAGAACTGTCCTGTTCAGTGGTTTCCAACCCTAAGTACACATTTGGATCACCTATGGAAAAAAACTCTCCAAAACCAAAAGGGTGGGGAACCTCAATCAAATCACAATTTATCAGAGCGCAACCCAAGCTTGAGCACTTTTAATATGATTTTAAAGCACAGCCAGGGTTGAGAATCACTATTTAGGTCATGGGTGGCACAAACAGATTCTCACACTACTTACTCTTCAGCCTGTGCCAAGGCAGACACTGGTAATCAAACTGAGATCTCAGGAGTCTTAACTGAGCTCTAGGCAGCCATTATCAATCGATTAGAGCTGTGGGAAAAGCTGAAGGGGACAGAGGGGCAGGACAGGGTGTCATAGAGAGGCCACTCTTGACACACACTGAGCCTGAACCTTTCCTGAATTCCTTCCAGGCTCTAGGCTGGAGCAGCTCTCAGAGGAGCTTGCCCTGGTTTCCCAGGCAGCACCTCCTCTGCAGCCCCTGTTCACTTCCTGACATCATGCCACATACTGTGACACTGAGTCTGCAACTGGGCACTGACCCTCCTCCAGCTGTTCCCCTACTCCAAAGTGGGGAGCGCCCTGCCCAGCCCAGTGCCGGGTGGAAGCACAGGCACATCAGACTGTCCACCTGACAGGCAGGCCCACATGCTGGAGTGTGGAGGAGGTGGCTGATTCTTGCCCTCCTTTCCTGGGCAAAGGGCTCCTGCTGTTTCCTCTCCCACTCACCATACCCACTCGGTCCTCCTTGTACTCTGCCCGCCAAAGCCGCTCCCTGCCCCCCTTCAACAGATGGAACAGTGCCACTGGGGCTTTCAGCCCTCCCTGCAGGGAAATACGGACGTGGGGTGTGAGGCTGGAAGACTTGGTGGGCCTCCTCCAACCCTTCTTATCACCGGTGATGCATCCATCCTCCCGCCAGCTCTGGGGGAGGGGCACTGGCACCCATCATCCCAGCTGAGGAAACCAAGGACCAGAAAGCCCAGAGCTCAAAGATCCCAAGCCCATGGCTCCCAAACCCACCAGCCCTGGGCCTCCCTTCTCTAGGCTCTGACCCAGCCCATCCTCCTGCTTAAACCTGCCCTCTTCTTTCCCAGGAAGCACATCCAGAGCCCAAGGTGGGAGGGCCAGGGAGAGGGGACACAGGCCCTGAAGGGTGAGGAGGGAGCAGAGGTGAGGAGGAAGAGACTCATGCACAAGTGTTGTCTTTTATTTCCTTCCTCAGGCAGCTGCAGCTTCCCACCAACAACACCTCGAAGCGCAGGGTGGAGATGGAGGGGTGGGCATGGGGATGACCCTCGGAGCTCCAGGGCCTGGGACTACTCTGAGAGGTGAGGGCTGCAGGAGGCTGGGAGGCTCCCGTGCTGGCTGGGGGAGGAACCCACCCCCAGCAGTGACAGCAAATCACGGCGGCTACGTGGGCTCAGAGCTCGGCTGGGGGACAAAGGTAGAGAGACAGACACCAACCTCACGACTCAGCTGGTTGGGAGATGGGGGGCCAGATGCTGACCCTGACCCCTGGCAGCACCCACAGCAAATAGGTCTGCATCAATGACTCTGCGTGTCGGGGGGGAGAAGGGTACCTCCGGGGGCTTAAATAAAGGGGCAGGGGGCAAGGGATGCGGCGGGAACAGAGTATGACCGTCTGGCCAGCGGGCCTAGCCTCAGGGGCCCCCGAAGCAGTGCGGAGCCTGCACCGTGGCTTGCGAGACTCCTTGGCGGGGAGGAGGGAAGGTCTCGCAGCCAACGTCTCGGGCCCCACCTCTCTGGGCTCTTCGTGATCCTCACTGGAGGGCCAGGCTGGGGGAGAGCGGACGGGGCAGGGAGATGGGTGCCAGGGGGCCAGGCGGGCCTAGCGCAGGTCCTCCTCGTCGCCCTGGATCGTCTTCTTGATGCGCAGCAGCATGGTGGTGAGCCACTGGTCCAGCCGGGAGATGGCGTCGTACTCCTTCACCTGTGTGCGCCGGGGGACCGGTGTCAGGAGGGGCGGCCCACCCCGCGCCTGGCTCCCGCCCTGTCACCAATCCTAGCCCATGGTCTCTGTTCCCAAGAGCCTCCAGGCGTGTCCCTGTCAGCCTCAGTCCCCGAGGAGGAGCAAGGGGAGGTGTGGGCCCCGACCCAAGCCGGGGCGGCTCCCTTCTGTGTCTTTACTGGCCTGGGCGTGAGGCTTCCCTTGGGGGGAAGAAAGATTTTATGGTTGAAAAAAAAAAGTCCAGTTTTCTTGTTTTACGGATGGGAAATTGAGGCCTGGAGACATGACGAAGCGGCGGGATGGACCTGACAAGTTTCGTCTCTGTCATCATTCAGAGGCCTACGATTGGTGATGGGCACCCAGGGAGAGACATGCTTGACAGATACAGTCTGGAAGACATAACGTGGGCCTAAGCTGGATGTAACTGAGTTCCAGAAAGCTCAGAACAGGGTAAGGAAAGGGAGAAACATCTCCATGGGACGGTTCTATCGGGGAAGCTGCTGGAAAGGGGGACCCTCCCAATGCTGCCTCTCCGGCACCCTTTGCTCCTCCTCCCTCCTGCTGTCGGGGAGGGGAGAGGGAATGATGCGACTCATTCCCTCCCTCCCTGCACATCCAGGACCACCCGAAGTGCCTGATGTGAGACAGCCTTAACTGCTCACCCAGGGGGACTCTGAGTGGTGCAAAGACCCTGGCCTTCAGGAGCAGACAGATATGGGCTCCAACCCCAGCTCTGGCCCCGAGAGGCCTCAGTGCCATCATCTCTAAAAAGCGGAGAACACTCCCCGCACCTCTTGGGGCTACTTGTGAGGATTCTGCAGCGACTGGAGAAAGGAGTTCATGGCCAGGGGCTGGGACTGGAGATAAAAACGGGTGAAATTGGGCTTCCCTGGTGGCGCAGTGGTCGAGAGTCCGCCTGCCGATGCTAGGGGACACGGGTTCGTACCCCGGTCCGGGAAGATCCCACATGCCGCGGAGCAGCTGGGCCCATGAGCCATGGCCACTGAGCCTGCACGTCTGGAGCCTGTGCTCCGCAACGGGAGAGGCCACAACAGTGAGAGGCCCGCGTACGGCAAAAAAAAAAAAAAAAAAAAAAAAGTGTGAAATTCATGGGACCACATCTGACAAGGGCAGCCACCCCTGCCAGCCACTCACCGCCTCGGTGTAGCTGTCCACGTTCTGTTCCTCGTGGGCGTCTAACAATTTCTGCAAGAGAATGGCAGGTGGGGCTCAGGGGCCCAGGCTGGCCTGAGGCCTGACCTGGATGAGATTCACACGCACACTATCTGGGTGAGTGAAAGTCCGGGGGACTCCCATGCTGACAGGAAGAAAGGGGCTGTGTTCCAGCCCTGCCCTCCGCATCACTAACACAGAACATCACGTGTGCACGCGTGCCCGTGTGCGTGTGAGATCCCGCAGCCTCCCAGCTCTGCCCCCAGCTCCATCGTTGACTGAATCTTACTTGTCTCATCCAGAAACTGGTGACCCAAATGGCAGACGAGGGGGAAACAAAAGACCCTTGAAAAGTACTGTACAAATCTCGGTGATCGTGCTAACCAGAGCCAAGCCTCCAGACTCCCATCCACACGTCCCGCTCCAAGCGCAGACGCAGGAAAGCGCTGGCCTGAGCCCCCGGCACTCACTTTCATCAGCTTGCACTCCCGGGAGTCGGAGAACGCAGGGAATAGCTCCTCATACTTCTGGACAGCGAGCTGAGTGTCGGCGAGGGTGGAGGGGAGGTCGAAGGGGACAAGTTAATAAAGAAGGGCCCTCGGAGCAGCTGGCCCGGCAGCCGAGGGGATCGGGGGCCGCTCTGGCCCCGAGTCAGCTGTCTGCGCCACCCCCCAGCCTCCAGTGACACTGGGCTCTGTGCTTCATGGAGCTGAGCTCAGTGCAAGCCTGGCTGCAGAGACAGCTGCAGGGGACGGGGGGTGGCGGGGGCCTGGGGGAGGGAGGAGGGTTCCCCAGGCCGGTGCTCAGTGCCTCTCCTGCACCCGATCCACCCAGGGTAGGGGCAATGGCAACAACTGCCTGGTACTGCCTCATAACAGCCCATCCTATGTGTCAGGCCTGACGCCGGGCACTTCTCACGTTTAACCCTCACGAGGACCCGGGGAGGGTCAAACGATGGTGACCCTATTTTGAAAGTAGAAAACAGATCCAGAGATGGTAGTGACCTCAGGGCACAGGGGACGTGTTGGGGATCTGAACTGGCCTGACCCCAAAGCCCAAGCTCTCACCTGCCCTGCCGGATGCCGGCAAAGGGAGCAAGGGTGGGGCTCAGACACACCATGTGGCTGAGGATGGGGCAGCTGGAGACGCCAAGAAATCCCAGACGCCAGGAGAACCCAGCTCCTCTCCCTGGCCATTCTCCAACCCCTCACCCAGCCCGGACCCCTCTCTTGCTAAGAAGCCCTGAGAACAAGCGGGTCTGGCATTTAGGCTCTGGTTCAAATCATGACACTGGGAGTCAGAAAGATCTGGAATCCTGGGGCTGCAGTTTACTAGCCATGTGCTTTGAACAAGGGACTCTGGTTTCAGCCTCAGTGTCTTCAACTGTAAAATGGGGCAACCATGGTATCAACCTCATGGGGTGCGGTAAGGACTCAAAAAGTGCTCCCACAAAAGAAAAAGCCTGGCACTGAGCAAGTCGGGAGTTGGAAACTCAAAGGCTACAGGGACTGAGCGAGTGAAATCAGGGATAGAAACAAGCATTTCCTGCTCAAAGGCCGAATGCCAGGGGCCAGACGTGAGTGAGGGGCTTACCCTCCGGAGGGGAAAGAGGTGACTCGGCCTAGTGACAGACACTGTGCTCCAAGGGCAGTCACCCTGTGTGTGGGGGGGTGGGGTAAGCTCTGGGTGGGCCCCTGGGCCTGGGCTCACCTTGGCGTTGAGCATGTCGATGCAGAAGTGGCAGAGAGCCGCCTTGAAGAAGTAGTCCTTGGCGCTGTACTTGAGCAGTGGGCTGTCCATGGCATTGGTCCCCACCTGCAGGCACGAGGAGGCGGGCAGCCAGAGGGCCAGGGTCACTGCCAGGCACTTGGGGGCCAGCTGGGAAGTGGGTTTGTTCCCCAGTGGGGCCCTGTTAACCCAGGACCCTGAGGGCAGGGAGAAGAGAGACCGGCCCTGGGGAAGTCAGCAACCAGTCTGTGAGTGACCGAGGACCAGGGCATGATGGGGAGTGGGGGTGTGGCCACAGGGCTGAGGCCAGGTGTCCGTGGGCTTCCCAAGGCGCCCGCGATGGTGGAGGGAGAGGCGGCCCTGCTGTCAGGCCCGACAGGAGGCTGGCACATCGGTGGGCAGAGGGGTGGCAGGCTGCGGGAACATGAGAGGCGGCGCCCGCCCCGCTCTCCTCCGAGGCCAGCTGCCTGCCTTTCTCCTGGCCAGGCTGAGCCCACCAGGGCGGCCGGCCCCCCCCCACCCCAGCCCTCCCCGCCCAGCAGAGGGGAGCCTGCATACCCAGGGGACACCCCCTCCCGGGCCCCTTCTAGCAGGCTCCTCAGCTGCCTCTGGCTACCCCGGGCCTCGCAATTCTTCCCACTCTCTCCCTGACTCTGGTTCTTCAGAGTTGGCCTCACTCTGGGGCTGCCTGGGAAGCGCCCTGTGAGGAGTGTGGGAAGGGCCCGTCTAGGAAGAGGGCGGTGACACCGCATGGGGTCGTGGGTGGAGAGAGTGTTCAGCCAGGCGGAGCACAGGGTGAGGGCGTGGGGATGACCGAGGGAAGTGCAGAGAATGGGGGGGGAGGGCAGGGCACTGGAGAGGATGAGAGACAGGACGAGGGGCACTGGCAGGCAGGATGGGGCGCCATGTCCGCCCCGCCTGCCCCCACCTGTTCGTAGATGTCAATGGCCTTCTGATACTGCTCCAGCTGCGCCGCGTAACCAGCCACCTTCAGCAGACACTTGTTGGCAGAGCTGAATGGGGCAGAGAGAGGGGAGGGAGGTGGGTGGTAGCAGGGTCTGGGGCCCTCACCGAGGGGCTGGGGCGGGCAGGAGGGGTACCTGTTGGACTCCTCGCCTTTGTAGTAGTCTGCAGACTGCTCATAGTGGGCGATGGCCTGGGGAGACACGGGCGGTGGGGGGAGGGCGAGGGGCCAATGCAGCCTTTATCACCTTTGGGCGCAATATGGCCCGGGACTCACCGGAGCCCTTTACCCAGGCTCTGCCGGTGCCCCGTGCTCCTGTCCTGGTCTCAGAGGACTGGCCTAGGCAGCCCTCCCCGGTCACTGGCCTGGCCCCACCTGCCACTGACCTTCTCGATGTCCACCAGCTCCGTCTCGTAGATCTCAGCGATGGAGATGTGGTGCTTGGCCGCGATGGTGAACCGGCCCTGGGTGAGACGTGGGAAGGAGCCCTCAGGACGAAGGGCGTCCTGAGTGCCCCGTCCCAGCTCAACCACACCCCTCCGGGTCCCCGAAGCTGGATCCTCAGCCGCCCCTGGGAGGGGAGGTGTGCAGAAGAAGGTCCCAAGAGACAGAGGGGCACGGGGCTTAAAAGGGAGGCTCTAGCATGAGCGGCCTGGGTCCGAGTGCTGCCCTGACTGGGTGACAGTGGGCATGTCCCTCCACAGAGTCTCCAGGGGACACAGGCAGATGGAGCAACACCGAGGTAACGTTTGCACAGGGACTTGCCAGAAGCTCTGGCCCAAGGAGGCATGTGACAGATGGTCCAGAGAGGCGGAAGGACCAACCCAGAGTCACCTGGTACAGGCTCCCCGCTGCCTAAGAGACAGCCTCCCTCCCGGCCTCCCTGTCCCGTGTGGCCACACAGCCCTTCTCACAGGTCAACCCCTGCTCCAGCTTCCCCTGCAGGCACCCAGGGCTTTCCCCAAGGATGCCTTCCAGCTCCCAGAGGGGCTGAGCACCTCCTACCTGCCTCCACCCGGTGGGGGTCCAGATGCCTGGCCCGCCACTCACACACGAGCCTGGTCCATGGCTACCTCCTTGCTGAGGGCAGCAGGAAGGGGCAAGGCCCTGGGCTCAGCCAGGACTAGTTTTGGGTCTCAGCGACTCCTGTTGGTAGGTGTGGGGCCCTGAGCGAGTCACGTCTCTTGTCTGGGACCCTCTTTCCTGACTGTCAAACGGGATGACAACAGTGCCCACCTCACGGGGCTGCTGTAGGGGAGACTAAACCACCCAGCTCAGAGCATCTGCTTCAATACATGGCAGCCGCTACCACTGCTGTAACGACACTACTACAGCATGGCCCTGGACCCGGCAGGAGGCAGGGCCCACGCTCCTGCCCAAGGGAGGGGTCTGACAAAGGTAGAGTGCGAAGGGGCAAAAAGTGGAGTTGACAGGAGCCAGGGCCTGGCTTTGGTCCACTGTCCTGGCTCCCTGGCCTCAGGCCAGCAGCCGCCTCTCTGGACCTCATCTGTCGATGGGGATGCTCCCTGGGGCAGGGCAGGGGCTGAGCTGACTCTGGGCCCTGCCTACCCTCCCCAAATCAAATGGGACGCTGGCGGCGGGTGACTGGGTAAAGGGAAACGCACCGGATACGCGAGGACCCCAACAGCAGTGACGTCTACGAGTGAGGACAACGACGGCCTGTGGGGGGCCAGAGGCAGGACCTGGGGAGGGGCCGCCAGCCCCTGTGACGTGCTGGGAGCTGCCACCAGGAGCCAGACTGGTGAGGAGCTGCGTGAGGACCCAGCCAGCCCAGCCCGGCTCCGGTGACACCCCTCACCCTGCCAGTCTCCCGCCTGCTCTCAGGGCCGGAGGAGGAGAGGGGAGGCTGGGGCAATATGGTAGGACTTGGAACGGGGTGGACAGGACACGCAGTGACCCTTACCATGTCTGTGTATATCTCAATTGCTCTCATCAAGCAGTTAATGGCCTCTGGGGAGAGAAAAAGGAAGGCAGGGAGGAGAAATGAGAAGGTGAAGTCATTTCAGCAGAGGCCGAGGAGAGGAGGAAGGTGCAGGGCTGCACTGGGAGAGGCCAGGGCTACGCACCTGAGCAGGGAGGGAAGGTGAGGGGATCCCCGAGATGCAGGAAACCTGGTCAGGCTAATTTATTCTGCTGTGACTTGCCGGGCACATGCTTTCAGGGGAGCCCTGCTGATACAGCTGCCCTCTCCCTCGGGCCAACACGACGCCACCACCTTCCCAGCAACCCCTGGGACAGGGCATAGCGAGCTGGTGGCCAGACTCCCATGGGTGTTTTGGGCCAGACCTGCCAAGGCCCTGCCCTTGAGGATGAGCTGCCGGCAGAGGCGGCAAAGGCTGACATCGGAGGAACGGCCAGGTCCCACCTGGGCTCTGCCACCCTTTCACGGTGGGACCCTGAACCAGCTGCATCCCCTGGCCTCCGTCTGCGGCAGGAGGCGGCTGGGTGCTGTGATGCTGATGCCCCTGCGGTTGGGGTCTCCACTATTCTGCCCACATCCCAGCCTGCAGCAGAGCCCTCTGCACCCTCCTCCGCCTGGCACTGCTGCCTGCTGGCTCCTCAAGCCACAGGTTTCACCGACAAAACACACACACTGGGGTGGCACCTGGGAGGAAGAATTGGGGTACCTTTGTTGTACCACCTTTTGCAAGTTTTTAAATTTGGGAAAGGCATTTTTTTTTTTTTTTGACAAGTTATTTGGAGGATAGAGGGAAGCATGAGTGGGTGGCATTTTCTAGCAGATAGAGATGAGCTCTCGGGTGGATTTTTTTTTAACACCATTTTAATGCATCTCAGGAGGAAAGGGTGTTGGGGGAGATGGAAGGAGACGGACAGAGAACCTGGACAGACCACAGCAGGTGGGCTCTGAGCTGGGGCAAGGTTGAAAATTCACCCCACAGTCCAGCATTTGTAAGCCCCCTGGTCTGCCGCTGGGGTCTCCAAAGTCAGCAGGGCCCACTGGGCTGAGATGCTGCAAAGAAACTGCAGGCCCGGTGTCTGCTCTCAAGGGGCTAATGGTCTCGTCACGCAGGGAGACATGTGAACAGAGGCTCTTAGGCCCAGACCTGTGGCTGGCCCTTCAGGGAGTCCACAAGCGCCCTCCCCAAATTTACAGGCCAAAAGGGGGTGTCTGTGAGCACTACTCTGGGGGAGGGAGGATTGGTAGGTCGGGTCCAATTCTGAAAGCCCCCTCGGGACCCCTAAAATATTCAGAGAGCATACACCACTGGGTCAAGGTTCTGAGGCTGATGGGGGAAGCCTGAGGCAGCAGGGAAGAGAGAAAGAAAGCAAAAAGGGGCAGAGAAGGAGAAAAGGGAGAGAACACCACAAACAAATACAGCCTGAAGCAGTGTTACTTTAAAACACACACACAGATTTTGTGACAGAGCATTTCTGGAAGTAACTGACGAGCTGGCAACCCAGTGGTAAGGAGGATAAGGAACCAGGGGTAGGGCTGCAGTGCGTGACCTGTGCACACCCCACCCTGCTCCATTCTCCACCCAGGGGGCTGGATGCGGCCAGCAGGTCCCCCCTGCAAGCGACTCACAGGCTCCCTCTCCTGGAACGATGGGGCGCACAAGCAGGCACCTATGGGCAGAGTGGCAAAGGTTGCCCGGGTGAGGTTAGCAGCCCTGGAGGGGGAGGCCGGAAGCTCCCCTGGCAGGACAGGCTCCCCTGCAGCGGCCGCCCCGGGCCTGCTGGCACTGGCCTGGAGTGTCGTCAGCAAGACGGCCCTTGCGGTGGCAATAGGGGAAGAAGGCTTACCCGCAGGCAGCAGCATGGAGTCACAAGGTTGAGTCCCCTCGCTCCAGGACAGCTGTCTCTGAAAGCGGCAGGCTGCCAGCTGCCACCCCAGCCAGAGCACTAGCGGATTACCTGCTAACGTACTGGCTAAACCAGCTTATCTCCGGTCACCAGGACCCCGGGGGTGAACAGCCCGCGCACCCCGGCACACCTGCCCCCGACCAGCCACCTGCAGAAACTGGGAGCCAGAAAGGGGCTCTGGGAATGATCCAGCCCCAGAAGGTGGGCAGGGAGGGCTGAGGCCCAGAGAGGGGAAGGCGCTGGCTTAGGGAGACAGGTCTCCTCAGTACAAGGGGGCAAATCGCAGAACCCCACGAAGAAGTGGAATGGGTAGAAGGAAGACGCCACGTGTCTGGTACACAGCAGGTATCCAGTGAGGCTGGCAGTGAGGGTGGGGGAGCACATGGGGGAGGGCAAGTGGGGGTCTGGCCACTGCCCTGCCCTGGGTGCACGTGTGCGCACACACGCACCCCTGGGCCCAGCTATGAGGCGGGCAGGGTAAGAGGCCTCCCTGGCCTGAGTCTACCCATAGCAGCCGGCAGTGGCTGAGAACCAATGACAGCTGTGGTCATCACCTGCCCCCTCTGCCCTCAGCCACCAAGGAGGCAGCAGGCCACCCTCGGCCCACACTCAGGGCAGACTCGCAGAGGGAGAGCAGTGACATGCACCTAATCGCTTCCTTCCACCCTGGCAGTCCCAGGCACAGGCTCAGCTGCCTGTCGGTGGTGGGGAGGGGGGCGTTTCCAGGACTCCTGTACGAAGTGCTGACACAGGGCGAGGCCTCTGAGGCAGGTGAGGCAAGCAGCAAGGCCCCGGGGAGCTGGCCGCCTGCTTGGGGAAACGCGGCAGTGATCCACATGGGCCCTCCGGCTCTGCTTCACACGGCAAGCAGCGCGGGGTGGAGGCAGGGGGTGTCCAGGCCAGGCTCCCATCTGATGGGAGCCGAGGGCTGCCCCGTACTGGACGTTTATCACACTCAAGGGGCTGTGCTGGGCACGTCTATGCTTTATCTTACGTGTGGTCTCTGCTTTACCAGACCAGGAAATGGAGACTCAAAAGATTAGGTGTCTCCCCGAGGTCACAGGGGAGCAGGCTCCCCCGGGCCTCAGAGACCACAGTGAGCCCCACCCTCCTTGACTGGGGTGGACAGTCGAGATGCGGTGGTGCAGGGACGTTGCCGCTCCAACACCGCTCCCGGCTCAGCACCAGAAAGCTGGAGCCCCAGCCGGCACCGCTCCCGGCTCTGCCCACACTAGGCTCTCCCCTGTGCCACAGCGCCTCCTGTTCCCTGAGAGCCACCGCCAGCACCAAATCCACCCCTTCCCACCTCAGCATCCAGGGCAGAGAACCAGGCTCGCTGATCTGATCCCTAGAGAAACCAAGTTGGCCTCTGAGCCCCAAGATGGGCACGTCACCACACCTAACCACTGCTGCCTTCCCACCGACGCCTCAGCCACTCTCCACGCTTCCAGAGGCTAGGCACCGGGCCACACCCCAGACCCGGGCCCTAGCACCTCCCACACACCCTGCAGAGCATTGCTGCTAGCTGAAAAGGCTCAGGTCAAAAGCTGGGGAAGGACGCGACATCATGGTGCCAGGTGGGGCCTGTCCCCCAGAAGCACAGGGGCTTGTTTGAAGAGCAAGTGGCGCTGTGCACATGCCATGAAGCCTAGCCTCAGCTCCCGCCCCAGACATCAGTCCTTCCAGTCACTTTGGAGCAGCACCTGAACGTCACAGATGCTAGGGCAGCGTCTGCAGGTTGACCAGTTTCCCAGAGAGAAGGCAGGCTGGGGGTGGGGGCCCTCTGCGGGGGACGCACAGACTTCCCTGGGTGATTTGAGCTGAAAACAAACCCAAGGTCACCCTGGGTCATCATCACATCACCACATGGCCCTGTGGCCCAGCGCTGCCAGCCAGGTGCACTTAGCTTTGTGCAGAGCGACGGTGGCCCACCCAGTCACAAGGCCTCCCCTCGGTTCTTGCTGAGCCTGAGCTCACACGTGTGAGACACCCGGCTACACAGGAACCACCCGTCAAGTCTGGGAACAGAGAACAGCTACTTGGTCCACACAGACGCCAAATCCTCCACGGGGAACTAGATGTCCCGATGGCGATAACGAATCCACCACCAATTCCCCAGTGCTGGTGTGTGAACCAGTGCTCACAGATCCTTGGAGAGACCCCCGGGCACTGGTGACAACTGCCCTTTCTTGGGAAGGATAGGCCTTTATCCCAAGGTGATGCATGTCCTTTCTTTTAAAAAAATTAATATTCATATATTTCCCATTCTCTTATGAGTGAATAGTGATAGTAGATGGTCATTTAAACAAATAAGATTGTTGGGCTTCCCTGGTGGTGCAGTGGTTGAGAGTCCACCTGCCGATGCAGGGGACACGGGTTCGCGCCCCGGTCCGGGAAGATCCCACGTGCCGCGGAGTGGCTGGGCCCGTGAGCCATGGCCGCTGAGCCTGCACGTCCGGAGCCTGTGCTCCGCAACGGGAGAGGCCACAGCAGTGAGAGGCCCGCGTACCGCAAAAAATAAAAATGAGCTTGTTAAAATTAAAAGTTGGCAACCAATGTCTGGCACCATGATTAAAAAATAAAATTCCGGGGAGACGCAAGCGGGAAATAAATAAATAAATAAATAAATGAAAATAAAATAAAATAAAATAAAATTCCGGGCTTCCCTGGTGGCACAGTGGTTGAGAGTCTGCCTGCCGATGCAGGGGACATGGGTTCGTGCCCCCGTCCGGGAACATCCCACATGCCGTGGAGCAGCTGGGCCCGTGAGCCATGGCCGCTGAGCCTGTGCGTCCGGAGCCTGTGCTCCGCAACGGGAGAGGCCACAAAACGGGAGAGGCCCGCGTACCACAAAAAAAATAAATAAAATTCCAGCTCCACGAAATCCAGAAGTCTGGTACCCACTGGGTTGCGCTTCTACTTCAGAATGAGCCCAGGGGGACAAAAACAGTTTCCTCACAGTGAGTCAGTCCCAAACTGGGCTTCTGTCCCCAGCACGCTCTCATTTTAAGGAACTTGTTCTCTGCAGCTACATCTCTGGGATCGGTTCTCTCTGACCCCATCCCCACCCCCCAGGGGGTAGGGAAGCCAGGTTAGGATAATTTCCGCTCCTTTTTCGGCAGCAACTCCTACCTGGCTGGTCTCTGAACCCCCTCCCACCCCCTCTCGCATGTTAATTCTGACAACAGAACAGACTTTCCTCTCTCCTGGCATGCGGTGGGTCTGAAATGTAACTCCCACTCCCAAATGCTCCCAGGCTCCAGGAGGGGAGGGGAGCGATCAGCTGCAGGCACAGAGCAGAAGGGGAGGCGGAGGCTTGGAGCGCGATGCCAACGCCAGCCGGAAGGGAGCCAATTCTGAAGTTAGAGCGCCAGCGCCTCCGGGCCAGCCTATTGCCTACTATCTTGGGTCGGAAACCTGAGGCCTCCTCTGGGTTGGGGCTCAGCTGGCGCTCTGGGCTGCCAGCTCCAGCAGCCCACAGAGGCCCTCACCTTGGGGGTCGGCTTTCTTGAACGCGTTGCCGGCGTCCACAAAGCAGGTGGCCGCATCGTGCTTGCTCTGGAGCTGCAGGTGCAGCTGGGCTGCCTGGCAGAAGGCGTTTCCGGCAGCTGGAACAGAAAAGGGGGATCCCCGTCTTAGGGGGGGGGCTCCACGTTTTAGGTTGCTCAGACAGGGCCCGGGGAGGTGGTCGAGCTCTCCAGGGGCAGGCAGAGTCGCCGAGAGAGGAAGAGCCTGGCCGGGGTGAGCCGAGGTGCAGGCCTAGACCTCGGGCCTCGACCTCGGGCCTCCTGACCCCAGAGCTGCTGCCCGCACCCCCGGCCCAGGGAAGCCTGGAAACAGCATCCCCGGCAGAGTGCCGGCTGAACCGTGGGATGGGGCTGCTCGGGGGTGCTGGGGAAGAGAGTGGCAATCAGGATACAGCTACCCCAGACCCCCCACTGCTTCTCCCCTTCCAAGACTGACTTCTCCCCGCACGGCCCCCAGCCCTTTCAATCTAACTCTCCGGCTCCCCTGCCTCTGTCCACATGCCGGTCCCTCGTCCAGAGTCGCAGCAGGTTGAGTGGCAAGGAGGCCTCACAATGTCCACTCCCCCAGGGGCTTCACGTCCAGAAAGGGAAACAGGACGGAGATGCCACGAACTTGAGAGTGTGGGGACCAATGCCCATGGGTGCAGGGAGGCGGAGACCACACCTGAAGCCCAGGCTGTCCTGTACTCAGCTGCGAACTGCCACCTTCCAGGCGCCCCAAGCCATCCTGTTCCCACGTCTCCGGCTCCTAACCTATCTGACTTGTGGGAGACAGCGGGACCCCTCCTCCTCAAGGGGTAGGGGCTGTGCTAACTGGGAGCTCCAATGGCCAATGCCAGCTCAGTCCTGAGGCCCCTGCCCTTCGTCCTCCTCCAGCTGAGTCCGAATCACAGAATTCCTGGAAGAGGACAAGAGGGCCTGCCCCCCATCCTGTACCTACAGAGCAGGAGGCTAGACAAAGCCACCCAGGTTTTCACTATGCATGATTTCTTTCTTGTTTTTAAGGGCTCCAAACTTGAGTGCAAAATTTCCAGAGAAGTAGTATCATTGGGGGAAAAGTTAAAAAAAAAAAAAGGCCTAAGACTTTTGTTTGAATATTTGGGGGAAGGAAGGAGGTGACAAATTTTAGGAGAGAAGCACCATCTATGCGATTGAAAAAGAAATATTCTTTCTCTAATGGTATTGTTACCTTAGGAGCATATAAAAATACACATAGGATCTGGCTCTAGGCATAACACATGCTATGAGAGCTTAGGAAAAAGCTCTTCTAATTTTCAGGACACCAAAAATATTCTCAGAAAACGACAGTCCATTCTGCCCTGTGCCTCCACACCCCGCCTTCACAGCCCCATCCCAGGTTTCGTTTCCTTTGTAGTCGGAAAGTTCCTCCCTGGGTTTCAACACTGTCTTTGCTTGATATTCTTGATCCAATCTTGCTGATGTCTGAAGCCATGTTATGAAGTCAGCCCCCAAAGGGCTCGAGCGCTGGCTTTTTGAACCTCTCTTCCAGGCCTGCAGGTAGCTCCCAAACAGGTCTTTGGTCCCTTGGACCTCCAGGAGCTCCTCCCTGGACTTCCCTGGCGGTCCAGTGGTTAAGACTCTGAGCTTCCACTGCAGGGGGCACAGGTTCAATCCCTGGTCTGGGAACTGAGATCCCGCATACCGCACCGTGCAGCCAAAAGATTAAAAAAAGAGCCCCTCCCTGCCCACCCACCTCTCCTTGGCGGACGCCGCCCAAGCTCCAGCCTTGCCAGGGTCTGACCATACCCCTCCTGGCCAAGTCAGGAGGGCCACTCCGCCCACCAACACAGCCTGTGAGAGTCTCAGGAGGCACGTGACCTGGGATGCCCTCTTCCGGGAAGAGGCCCTTCCAGTATACTATGATACTGTCTGTGTGTGTGTGTCTTGCCCCAACTGGAGTGAGAGCACACAGATGGCTGGGGACCTTGTAAGTGCTCCTGAAGTCTGCCAGTCTGTTGACTGGAGTTCTCTAAGGGCTTCCCCTCCCACTCTAGAGGGAGGGGTGCTGCTAATAGGAGTGGGAAATGGAGCTCGCAGCTGCCACTGTGCTGGGCTGACTGCTCTGCGTGGGGACGACTGATCTCAATGAACCCACATGACAGCCCCGCAGGGTCAGGACCGTTCCTTTCCCTGTTGCCGTGCTAAGGAGGAAACAGTTTTGGAGAGGCCAGGTAACCTCCCTGGGGTCACGTGGCCAGCCTGAGCTGTGACACAGATCCAAGTCACTCTGGCTCCAAAGGTCAGGAAGCCACATGGGGCAGGTTAAGCCCTCCAGCTCCAGAGTCAGAGTTCTGGTTTCTGAATTCTGCTTCAGTCACTCACTAGTCGTGGCGTGTTGGGCAAAGGGCTGGGCCAAGCCTCAGTTTCCAAATCTGTGAAATGGGGATGTTAATGGTACTGACGCTCATGGTGTTGCTGTGATGATTCAGTTAAATAATGCAAGCTGGTGCTTAGGAGAGTGCTCAATAAATGGAGCCATGATTAATGTTATTATTGGAACCACTTGAATCATCCCCAGCCCAGAATTCAGACTCTGATGGCAGTATTAGGGAACTGCTTCCACGGAAACCTGAGATTCTTTCTTTCTTTTTTTTTAGTAGAAGTATAGGTGATTTACAATATTGTGTTAGTTTCAGGTGTACAGCACAGTGATTCAATTTTACATATATATATATTCTTTTTTCCGATTCTTTTCCATTATAGGTTATTACAAGATTGTGAATACAGTTCCCTGTGCTATATAGTAGTAGGTCCTTGTTGCAAACCTGAAATTCTGAATTTAAGGAGAAACCCCTCAAAGAGCTCATCATCTACATGGGTCTATCTGAATTCAATAATCTATTTATCCTTATCCTCTAAGTTCTCATTCCAAGGCCCTGTGACCCAAGTTGTAAAATAACCCAGTGGGCTCGGAATGACCAGATGGCAGGCCAGTGGGCCTGTAAAGCTGGAGACGGCATTGGTGGGGGAGCTGCAAGGCTGAGGCCTCAGCCAGGCCTCTGGGACTGGAAGCTGAGGGGAAAGAGGAGAAAGAGCCATGGAGGCGCTCCAGCAGGGATCACATACCGCTCCAGTTTTTGGCCATCTTGAACATGTTTGCTGCTCTGGCGTAGATCTCACATGCTTCCTCTATTTTGGATGAGCCTCTGGGAAAAGGGAAAGGAAAAACAGGTAAGAGAAAGATCTGATCTGGTATCAAAGAGAAAGCAAGCCAGGGCTTCCCTGGGGGTCTGGCGGTTCACTAAGACTGAGCTTCCAATACAGGGGGCACTGGTTCGATCCCTGGTCAGGGAACTAAGATCCCACATGCTGCACAGTGAGGCCCCCCCAAAAAAGGAAGAAGCAAGCCTTCTGCCCCAGCGACAGTGGAGATGTGTCCTTACATCGCCCGCTGGATGGTGGCCCCAGCCCCAGCATGTCCCCGTGAAGCCAGCTTCCCAAGTCCAGCTACAGCTCAGGCCTCTGCCCGGGCTCAAGGGAGATGGAGCTGGTGGCCCCCAGCCCCCATGCAAAGGCTGGCTAGGCCCTCGCTGGGCAGGTCTAGGCTGGACCCTCACTGTGGGGGGGGGGGCCTTCCCAACCACCCCCAGGAGCCCTGCCTCTGACAGTCTCCTCCACTTTCTGCTCAGATGCTCGGTGCTGACCACTGGATCCCAGGCTCTCTGCAAATCCCTTTTCCCCACGAGACTGCAAAGCATTCTGGGGGAAGAGTCCATCCTTGGACACCTTGTCCTTTCCTCAATGCCCTAACCCTGTCCCTTGCACACTGCAGCTGTCCAATGAAGACGTCTCAACCCTAAAAGCGTGTTGCTGCCAATTCACGACTAGGCAGATATATAATGATACAGACATATAAAGAAATACTGTTTTTAAATATGTACACCGAAAGTTCCCATTTGTGTTAAAACAAAACAGAAAAAGAGGGTGAAAACAGAAACATACATGTAAACATAGAAGATTTCTGGAAAAATACACACACAAAAAATAGAGTATTTTTCTCTAAGGTGGGGTCTGTAGGACTGGGTGCCAGGTGTGGGAGACAGACTCATATCCCTCGCTAGGACTGTCTGGATTTTAAAATCGTCTGCATATTTCCTATTCGAGAAAAAAGATATGTATATATTTTAAATATTAGCATTTACGTTGGGTTCTGTGATCCAGCAATGAATTACATTCCTAGCAATTTATCCTAAGAAACTAAGCAGAGGGACTTCCCTGGTGGCACAGTGGTTAAGAATCCGCCTGCCAATGCAGGGGACACAGGTTCGAGCCCTGGTCCGGGAAGATCCCACATGCCGCGGAGCAACTAAGCCCGTGTGCCACAACTACTGAGCCTGCACACCTAGAGCCTGTGCTCTGCAACAAAGAGAAGCCCACGCGCAGCAACGAAGACCCAACGCGGCCAAAAATAAAAATATATAAATAAACTAAAAAAAAAAAAAAGAAAGAAAAAACAAAGAAACTAAGCAGAGAAGCTACAAGGATGTTCAGCACAAGATTATTTAAAATGGCAAAGTAATGGGAATTCCCTGGTGGTCCAGTGGTTAGGACTCGGCGCTTTCACTGCCGGGGCCCAGGTTCAACCCAGGTTGGGGAACTAAGATCCCACAAACTGTGAGGCTGCCCACCGGCCACCCCCCGCACAAAAAAAATAAAGCCACACAAATAAATCATCTTCACTGTCCTAGCCCTCAGCGCTGTGTCAACTGGCCCTGGAACCTTGCCGACACCAGCCACAGAGGGTGAGGGCCTCCGACATAATTCTGGACGCAGTATGGGGAGCACCCCTGCCCTCTGCACTGCTGGTGAGGCAGGGCCAGCGTGCCCATGCTTTGGATGCACATCAGATGTTTGTTATAATAATCAAACCAGAGCCCCGGAGTCACCCTCCCTGGAGATCTCACTCAGCAGGTCTGGGTGGGGCCTGCAATCAAGATTTGTAACAATGGCCTCAGATGATTCAGATGATCAGGCGAATCTGGGAGGGAAAAAGCTGACCTACACTGACCTCTTGGGAAGCAGCCACCAGTGACTTGTCCCATGTCAGGTAACATCGGAAGGCAATACCCCCAGGGCGGGCTGGCAGAGTGGCTGGGACTGGAATCCTGGCTTCCTGAATCCAAATCGCACCAGGTAAGCTGCTTTAGATGAAAAGTCTCCCCTCTGCCTTCTGGGGCTGTGCTGACACTGCACCCACCCTCTGCTGTCCCCAGAAAGCAGCCCTGAGGGATGTGGTGACACACACCTCCCACACTCCACCCTGCTGGGTTCCCCCATCTTCCCACCACAGCTGCACAAGACGCCTTGGGCCTGGGGCCCCTGTTTGGAGTGAACCCACTCCCGGCCCTGGAGAGGTGAGGAACTTTCACAAGTTTTGGGCAGAAGAGATTTCAGAAGGGTCCCTGGGGGCCAGGCTACAAAACCCCCTGGGGGATCTTCTCTGGAAGGTTCTCTGAAAGGAGTCAGGTGCACTCACAGGCCGAACCACAGATCTGCCCACCCCATGGGTCCCCTAGCGCATCCTTCCCTTCCTTGTGGGTGCAATTAAGTCCTCTCCAGACCCAGACATTCTCTGAAAAAGCTCAGGTTCCCGGAGGAGCAGAAATGGCCCATCCCACCACGCAGAGGCCCAAAGCCCGGTGATAACAATGAGCAGAGTCAGCCCCAGCTGGCTTGTCGCAGCTCAGTGGGACGGGGCAGACTCAGAACACAAGGCCTGTCAGCTGCTGGGCTGAAATTCTATGATCCCAGACTAAGCTGGGCCAACCCCGTGCTGGCTCACTGATTCTAACTGCGGGTGGAAAAGCCAGAGGGATTAACATCTGCTCAGGCCTCCAGGCCTGCCTTCTCCTTCCCCTCAAAGCTTGGGTCCTGGCCACTCCCATGACCAGGCGATGACAGGAGACTCTCTGGAGCTCTAGCCTCTTGCTTTAGAGATGGAAGTGGAGTCATCAAAGGGGAAAGTAATATGGCTCGGGTCCCTGGCGAATCCTGAAGGAGAAACCATTCACATAGCCATTTATTCAACTGGGGAGCAAATATCTGAGCATTTATCACGTGCCAAGCACTGCAGGTAACAGTAGCAAACAAAGGAGAAGGGCCTGACCCTCAGTGAACAGGACATCAGCAAGACAACTGCAGAGGGACCGGGGGACGAGGGGCTTCTCTGAATGGGCAGGTCAGGGCAAGCTGCTGTGACTATGTGAGATTTAAGCTTAGTCCCCAGAGATGACGAAGGAGCCATCCATGTGAAGCGGGAAGCACATTCTAGGCAGCAGTCACAGCACGTGCAAAGGCCCTGAGACAGAAACAAACTCGGCCAGTTCAAGGAAGAGAAGGGGACCAGGATGGCTATGGTCCAGGGAGTGGCAGGCATTGAGGCTGGAGAGGTGGACGGGGGACCCCATGCTGGAAGCAAGGACAAGGGTCTAGGCCCTATAATAAGGAGCGTTCTGCAAGGCAAGAACAGGCAGAAGGAAGAAGAGCCCAGCTCCTCTGCTTTTCCAAGCTGTCTCCGCATGTGATACACCTGCATTGTTTACTACAGGATTTCTCTCCTTGGTCAGGTCACTTCAGGTCACTTATCTAAGAGTGGCCTCCCCGACAAAACCCACAAACTCGCTGAGGGAAAGAAACCAGGCCTCCCTCGGACCCCTGCACAAGGGCCAGAGGGGCTAGCTGGCCCTGCATCTTCTGAAGAGCCCAGGTGGCAGTGCCTGTGAGAGCTGACTGTCCCTCCCCCCACCGATCCCCCCAAACTGCCTCTGCTCCGTCCTTCCCATCACACAGCTCTGAGCCACACTGGGAATAGAGGGAACTGGTTTGGGCCAGGCTGGTGCAGGGCTGTCTATAATTACCCCACTCAGCTTTGCTTTCTCCCCTCCGCAAGGCGGAGGAAGCAGTCTCAGGTCTCCCAGGCACAGCTACCATCCTCCAGTGGCTGCCATATGGAGGGAAGGGGGCGGTGCCAGGCATGCACAGATAGCCTGGTGGGACCCGGGCCAGGGGGTCCGCAGGGCAGAGTCTCAGCCTCCCTCCTTCCTTTCTCCATCCCCTGGGCACTTCCCGGCTCCCAGAAACAAGCCACCCACCCAACCTGCAGTCTCCTGAGGGCCTCAGAAGGCAAGGCAGGTGGAGTAACTCCCATGTTAGGTCCCCGACACTCCCTAAACCCCTGTCCTTCTGCGGCGCCATAGACACCTGCCCTCAGCCCCCTCCTCGGCCTGAAGGTCCCCGGGAAGAATGGACCCAAGGGCCGGTACGGCCCCGACCTCCTCTCCTTTGCTGTGCATCCTCACGACTCATTACAGTGGCCTGCCAGGTGCCACCTGAAGCAGTACAGAGAACCTCACAGTCACCCTCTAGGTATGACCCTGGCTTACAGAGGAGGAAGCTGGGGCTCACAGTGGTGAAGGGGCTGGCCCAAGCCGATGCTGCCGGGAAGCGGCAGGGCCGGGGAACCTGCCCTGCCTCTTGCTCACCCTGTGATCCAGGAAGCTTCCTTCCCTGTGTCCGAGAGTCTTCTGGAAAAGGAGGGGGCGCACAAGCTCCCTGCCTGCTCCGGCCTCTCCGGTCGATGAAACAGCCAGCGCTGCTCAGGTTTCCCTCATCTGAGGAGGAAATGCTGCTCTCAGCAGGAGCCAGCCTGAGCAGCCTCGAGGCCCCGAGGGAGTCATTAAGCCAGCCCCCCGCTGAGCCCTAGCCCACCTCACGGAGTGGCAGGCTGAAGGTACATCAGAAAACAGGCCCCTGGCACCGGGAGCAGCGGCCCCCCCAGCCTCGCCCCCCTGCCGACTGCACCGGGGCTGGCAGAGCCAGAGCCGCAGGGTCTCTGGGCATCTCTCGGCCTCTCCTCCTCCATCGCCCATGAGCGCTAAGCCCCTTGCTGCCCCTCTGGCTCTGCGGTGCATCGAGCTCCCGTAGGGCCCCAGGAACGACGGAAGAATCCAGTATTACACACTAAGTGCCCAGCTGTGAAATGCCTGGACGGGCAATGGGGAGAGAGAGAATGCACTTGGGGGCCGAGAGACCTGGGCTGAGGTCAGCCTTGGGCACTTTGCTAGCTGTGTGGCCTTGGGCTAGTGATCCCTGAGCCTTGGTTTCTTTATCTGTAACACAGAGACAATGAGCCTGACCTGGGAGGCGTCTCGCGAGGATGAGAAGGCGCAGTACCTGGCACACAGCACAGTGAGGCCCGGGGCAGGCGCTCAAACAGCTGCTATTATATGAAGGAGGAGAAATACACCCCAAGGGCTGCCGGCCGCCCGGCAATGGGAATTCTAGAGTCGCTCAGGGTGGGTGGAAAAATCGAGGACCACAGTCAGGCAGGCCTGGGCTCCGGTGCTGGCTCGTGGTGCCCCGGCCTCTGCTTCCTCAGCTGTAAGTGGGGCTAAGACACCACAGCCGGCAGGCCTGCTGGAGGCACAAGGAACACCCCCTGCCCCCGCAGGCAGCAGCCAGGAGAGCGCCTGCCACACAGCAGGTGCTCAGCCAACGAGAGCATCACTCGCTTCAGGCTGGCGGAGAGAGCAGCTTCTGGAAATGTTCTCCTTTCGCATCGCAGTGTGGGCTTCATCGCCTTACCTCCAGATTAGCTAAGCGGCGCCCCTCCCCTGGCTTCCACAGAGCCGGGGGCCTCCCACCTACCCCACCCACTGAACACCACACTGATGGGGCTGGTTCCCGGGCCATCGCCCTCCTGCCCGTGAGCTCAAAGGCAGCGGCCACGCCTCCCACACGGCCCAGCAGGCCTTCCCATGGTTCTTATACGGATGCCCTCTGCAACCCAACAGGATTCCTTCATCCCAGCCAGAGCGCCCAATGGTTCCTATTCTTAAAAGATGTTTTGGAAAGACCCTTGCCTCTCAGTAGCCCCACTCCAAACAGGAGTGTCGAAACCTCTGTGTGAGCAGACAGCAGGGTCCCATCCATCAAGAGAGGCAGAACCCTCAGACTGCAGGGAAATGACAGCCGGCTCCCCTGGAAGCCTTGTGTCCCCTCAGGAAAGCCTCCACTCTGAGCCCAGGCAAGAGAGGCTGCGTTTGAAGTTGTGGATCTTGGCAGCTGGCAGGGGACAGCGAGTCACCTCGGTGCCCAGCTCACCGGCACCCCGGGGTCCTGCGTGCTCTGCAGGTGGAGGGTGGTCTGGAAGCCGGCACTCCTCAGCCAAGGGCCCAGGGGGGTCCTGGATGGGGGACACCTACCCAGAGGACCTTGGCCGCAATCTCTGCCTCAGGAAAGCCAGCCTCCAGGGCTCCCAGGGGTTGCTGGTGCCCAAGAGCGGTTCAAGCAGGAACTGTGTCAACATTTGATCTGCAGGCTGCTGTCTGTGCACAGAAAGCACCCCGTTATCTCTAGTTCTCCAGCGCCTCGGGCTCAACTTCCAATCACAATACCCAATACTAATACTGTTGATAATAGTAAGCACTTAATAAGCACCCACCAGGGTCAGGCACCATGCTTGCAGCGCTTCACATGCATAACCTCATTCTCTCCTTAGGACAATCCTACGAAGTAGGTATTACTATGATCTTCAGTTCAAAGAAGAAACTTAGCTAAACACACTGGTATCTGAGTGGAAAGAAGTTTTTATTTTGGATTTGGGGGAAGGGGTCACGGGGAGATGTCAGGGACGAGAAAAAGCACCAGGAACAGAACCACTGTTTGGAATCTGCGCAATCCCGAAGGGGTACAGCAAGAAGTCTGGATCCCTCGGGAGACAGGCAGCAGGAAGGAAGAAAAAGCGCATCTTGCATCTCCCCTCTCCTTTTCCACAACTGCATCGTCTTTGGGAAATCGCCACCTTTCTGCTTCCAGAGCAGAAGTCTGGGCTGCTCTCCCATCTCCTGAGCCCTGGCTGGGGAGCTGAGGAGGGGAGGGAAGGTACAGAAGCAGCTCGGATCTGTGAGCCGGCTGGTACAGCCTCCCTCCCAGGCTGCTGGTGCACCAAAGCCCCCTAGTGTCTGGCAGTCCAGAAACAACGAAGAGCAAAGAAGGCCTTAACAGCCAAGGTGACGGGGCTGCCCCCGATCCCAGGCGGGAGCAACCCTCCTTGGCCCTTTTGACATGAGCAGAGACCTCTCAGTTTGGACTGCTGTCATCGCTGAGGTTCCTGAAAGGGGAAGGAGGAGCAAGAGGGACAAGCTGAGCCCTGACACTCCCCGCTCCAGTCCTCGGAAGCCACAGCGGGTTGTGAAACGCTGAACCCCAGCAACCCCGGTTCCAGAGGGAAGGTGTCAGGAGTGGTTCCCGCCCATGAGGCAAGTCCTCTCGGGCTGGCCCCTCCGGCAGACAGGCTTTGGTCAGGAGGGTCTCGGTCTCCGTCTGCATCCCTGTCCTGTGCGCTAGCCTTGCACCATGGCAACCGCTCTTGGAGCTGAAGGGTCTGGGATGAATACACCTGCTCTTTCTTTCAGATGTTTGGAGAAAACTGTCACGTGGGTGGGGAAGATGGGGGAATCAGAGGAAGGAAAGCTCCCTAAGACGCCTAGTTAGCCAACATCCTCCCTAAACGGAGTGCCCTGAAATGGGCCAGAGCATCAAGGACAAACTTTGTGTGGCAGCAAGAGGGCTTTGGGATCAGACAGGACAGTGTGTGAACACGATCTCCCACTCACCAGAGGACTGGGCAAATATACCAATATCTCTAAGCCCCCATTTGTCCACCTCCACGGGGATGTCGTGAGGACTACATGTGAGGACACAGGTAAAGCGCCTGGCCCAGGCCGGACTCGGACTCAGAGTGAGCACTTAATAAACGTTATCAGCTATTATTACTGTCACCGTCTTCACTCTCCCCAACACCAGCTGCTGCAGTCCTTTCTACAAGGCAAATGGGAACCCTCCAGCACTGGCCCTACTATGGATTGAATGCTTGGGTCCCCCACCAAAATTCATGTGTTGAAACCTTAACCTCCAAGGTGATGGTATGAGGAGATGGGGCCTTTGTGAGGAGATTAGGTCATGAGGGTGGAGCCCTCATGATTGGGATTAGTGCCCTTATTAAAGAGATCCCAGAGAACTAGTTCACCCCTCCCACCGCCCTTTCCACAATGTGAGAACACAGTGAAACAATAGCTGTCTATGAGGAAGCAGGTCTTCATCAGACACCAAATCTGTCAGCACCATAATCTTGAACTTCTCAGCCTCCAGAACCATGAGAAATAAATTTCTGTTGGTTATCAGCCACCGAGCCTATGGTATTTTGTTACAGCAGCCTGAACAGGCTAAGACAGGCCCCCATTAAAATCAATACTCTCCAACACCTCCTCAAATCCAAGCCCTTTGTCAGAAGACCCTCCAGGACTGGGCCTGGTTCTTGTTCAGTCTCACCCCCTTCTGCCCATTCTACGTTTATGGGCTAACACGGAAGCCCCTGCATTAAACCTTCATCTGGGCCTTGCTCAAACTGTATCCTCTGCCTGAAGCAGTGCTCCCCCGCCAGAGGGTACCCCTGGAACTCCTGTTCATCCTCCCAGATGGAGGTCTCTCCTCTGGGGAGCCATCCCTGTTCCCTTTAGATCTTGGTTCCCCATCATTTCGGGCAGAACCTCCCCTCACACTAGACCTCTGTTCACACAATTCCCTCTGCCTAGAACACCTTCCCCAGCCCCCACTCCCTTAGCATGACCTAGGGTTCCTTGGGGCCCAGCTCACACCTCACCAGAACCTTCCTTCAGCTCATGCAGCTTCCTCTCAGGTCAGGAACCTCCCACAAACGACAGAATCTAGCCCTTAGTCACATTTGACAATTTTGCTTTACTAGTGTTTTAGCAAGCATTCATCTTGCCTTCCCAACCAGGTGGCAGGTGTTTCAGGGTCTCACTCAGCTGCTCCCTCCAAGCACGGCCCAACAGTACACTAACCCCCAGTCCAAAGGGACCAGACACCAAAAGCCACCCAGGAAAACCATTACCGAAAACTGAGCTCTTAGCCCCACCCCAGAACACTGCACTTTTATTTCTCCCCTTGTGAAGGAAGCAGAAACACACATACCCTCTCCCCACTCTTAGCCTCCAAAATAAAACATTTCTCACCTAATCAATACAGGCCATCAGCCCCGGATGTTTCTCCACACCAGGCAATTCTCAGCCAGGTTACTCAAGTTCTTTCACTAAACATAATCCACCCTCAAATAACAACGAGCGGCTCCCATCTCCTTTCCTGGAAAGAACCCTCCCCCACTTCATTTCTTACCAACCTCCTAACACCATGTCTCCCAATCCCTGGTCCTCCCCGCAAGCCCCTTCCCCAGCCTTCTGGATGACTCTCCCAGCCTCACAGCCCTCCCCAACCTCTGCCTGTCTCTGCTGCCAGGCTCCATGAGGCCCCCTCCTCACAGTTCTTCCTAACTCACTACAAACTCACCCGGCCTACTGCAGCTCTCCTCCCAGGCCGATGAGCAACACAACCCTCCTCAGTCCTCCGCGGCCTTCTTCTCCCTCCACCCGGGGCCTCAAGCCCCCTCCCCTCACCCTATTAAGTCTCCATGGCCCGGAGTTCCGTTCCCAATCTCTTTCATCTCCTCTCTCATCACACCGTTTCTCCCTGCTCTGACCCCCCCCCATCCCCACTTCTCCCATCAGACCCCTACCTTGATCCCCACCAGCCCCGTACAGGCTCCACACCTGTTTCCTTCCCGGAAGTAACACTAATGGTAGCTAGCACTCTCAGAGTGATAACCACGTCCCAGGCGCAATTCTAAGCACTTTACTTGCATTCTTATTCTATACTAGGAACAAACCTGAGATAGATTTCACTAAGCTCCCCTGTAACAGGGAAATTAAACAGCTTACCCAAGGTCAGGAAATGGCTGTTGACACTCCTAAGCCACTAAAATGCCTCAAAGGATGGCCAGCCAAACAACTTTTACGAGCCAACACGAACTTTCTGTGAAACGTCTGCCGCACTGCAGGTGTTGGCTCTGCCTCCCAGACCCCTTCAGCGGTATCCTGGGCACGCCACTCTCATCCTACTCACAGTGCCCACCCAATCCTTACTCAAGGATCACACAGCAGGCCTTCGGCCCCTTTTGGTTTACTCATCTCCCTCATCTCTCCCTTTTAACCCTCCAGTTCCTAAATCAAGCCTCACCCCACCTTAGTCTCCAGCCTCCCAGTCCAGGCTTCTTCAGAAGCCGTAACTCCATCACCCCAGGGATTCCTCTGCTCAGATCTCAGGGTGTCAGGTCCCCTTACACTACTCAGCCGTGACCAAGGCCATACCCATCCCAGACACCTCACACATCTCAGACTTGGGCTCATCATCCCAGGATCACCTTAGCCCTGCGCCCTGAGCCTGCGTTCACACAAATCCACCGCCCCAGGCCTTGGAAAGGTGAAGCCCTCAGGCAGGGGTCCTCAGTCCCAGGGACCCAAGACGCCCGTCTGGGATACTTCAAATAGGTTCTCCTAGAGCTCCAAAAGGCTTCTTGACCTGGTTGCCCTCCCAGGTTCCCTCAGTCCCGGCAGGCCAGGTCCCCTTCAAGGCCTGAGACCATACTCCCTCGGCCCAGGTTCTCCACCAGCCCCTTGGCCCATCTTCAACCTGGGTCCCCTTCCTGCCTCCAGATGGTGTCGCCTCGGCCTGGGTGTCCTCAGCCCAGGGCCCTTCTACCATCTGGGACAGACTCTCCTCAAACTATTCTGCCAATGCCACAACCCGGGCACCCTGGCCCTCGGCCGGTGTCACCTCTGCTGCCTTAGACCATGTCACGTAACCCCGCAAGCCGCCCCCACCCCGTCCTCTAGGTTCGAGCCCTTCGTCTCTATCGCCGCCCCGGTCTATGACTCCTCTGTCCTCTCAGTCTAGGTCCCGGCCGGACCCCTCGGCGCGGTTCTTACCCAAAGAGGCCCGAGAAGAAGGACTGTGAGTTCTTCACTTTGCGCTCCGCCTCGGCCAGCAGCGCCATCGCCTCCGCTTCCTTCCCGGAGTTGTCCATGGCGGCCGCAAAGGTACTCAACAAACGGCCCGACCCGGGCCCTCGGAGGACTCAGCTGCGGCCGGGCGGCGGTACCCAGGTCTGGACAGCTTAGTGGTCTGCGTTGACGTCGCACCGGCGCGCGCCTCAATGCGGCCCAGAACCACGTGATTCGCACTGGCCAACCAGCGGCGTCGTAGCGCGGCGCGCGCCCCGTCGGCCACGCCCTCGCCAGCCGCCGCGCGCCGGCCCGTGACTCACGGCCTCTAATTGGCGACCCGATGCTTTAACGCATGCGTATGCATCCGCGTACGGCACCCTACTCTCTTCCTGGTGCTACCGGGGCAGACCACGTGACTCCGCGTAAGCCAATCGTAGTCCTCACCGCCAAGGACCCGCCTTGAGGTGCTACCTTTCTGGATCCTCCTCCACCAATCAACATCAGCTCTTGGCTCCGTCTGCACTTCCCGGCGGAATTTGGACCGTAGTCAGCTGACCATTGATCCTCACGTGACAGCTCCATGCCGGAAGACACGGCCAATCCACGCCTGGGTTTGACAGTTCCCTTGCGCAGAGTTTAGTCCCCGCCTTCGCTCTTTACCTCCTGACGTTCTCCTTCACTTGGAAAGGCCTAAGTGGTAAGACGGAAAATGGTATCCCCTTTCCTGCGCCCTCTGTCGACCTACGCTGAAATTGGTTTGGGAAGGCCAGTGAAGTAGGCGAACATCATTTTATCGTGCTTTGCTTTCTTGCCTTTCGCAGAAATTACGGTTTTCACAAATTGAAGGTTTGTGGCAACCTTGTGTTGAGCAAGTCTGTCCAAGCTGCGCCATTTCCCAAACAGCGTCGGCTCACTTAATGTCTCACTGTCACGTTTTGGTAATTCTTGCAATACTTTAAAGTTTTTTATTACTATATTTGTTAGGGTGACCTGTGATCGGTGACCTTTGATGTTACTGTTACGACTGGCTAAAGGATCAGATGATGGTTAGCATTTTTTAGCAGTTTTTTTTTTATAATTTCATTTTTGATTTTTTTCTTTGACCCATGAGTTATTTAGAAGAGTGTTATTTAGTTTCCAAATATTTGGAGACTTTTTTCTCTTATTTCTTTTATTTCTTTCTTTTTGGCTGCATTGGGTCTTCATTGCTGCGCGGGCTTTCTCTAGTTGTGGCCAGTGGGGTCTACTCTTTGTTGCGGTGCGTGGGCTTCTCATTGCAGTGGCTCCTCTTATTGCGGAGCATGGGCTCTAGGCTCGCGGGCTTCAGTACTTGTGGCACGCAGGCTCAGTACTTGTGGCTTGCGGGCTCTAGAGCACAGGCTCAGTAGTTGAGGCGCATGAGCTTAGTTGCTCCGCGGCATGTGGGAGCTTCCTGGACCAGGGCTCGAACCTGTGTCCCCCGCATTGACAGGCGGATTCTTAATCACTGCGCCACCAGGGAAGTCTGCAATAAAGTATTATCAAATTAAGATATGTACTTTTTTTTTTTTTTACACATAATGCTACCCCACACTGAATATAGTATAGTGTAAACATAACTTATGTGCACTGGGAAAGAAACAAAAAAACCCCTATGACTGGCCTTATTGTGGTGATCTGGAACCGGACCTGCAGTACCTCTGAGGTATGCTGATATTTGAGTGACGGGAGTCAAAACTGAGAGCAGAGGTTCTCTAACTCTGGTTTCAATAAGAAATAGCTGGTGAGACTGTGTTAAAAATTCAGGTTCAAACACACCTAGTGCCCAGATCTTAGTTTTTAATACTGTTCTCCAATAAAAGTAACCAGGGCTCCTTGGATAAATGGCTGGTTCTAGGACTGGGCAGGAAATTATACAGGATGTGCTTAGAGCATCTTGTAGTTCCAGAACAGAAGTCTCTCAGCCTCCATCTCGTTGTCTCCCTCTCTCTCTCTCTCTCTCTCTCTCTTTCTTTCTCTCATACACACACACACACACGCACACGCACACGCACACGCACACGCACACACAAATGGGGTATGTCAAAGAGACACAAGAGCCAACTGAAAGAGCTCCCAATAGTCAAAGCTGGAACAATTGGAGCAACAAAGTAGCACTGGATAATAACCCAGTCTATAAAATCTCCATGAGCCCATGCTGATGTAAATGAATGACTGAACAAGTAAATAAATGGCCGTGCCTAATTCCAAATAATTTATATGGCTATTCTGCCCTCAAGAAGTTGAAGCATGACTCTTCACACCTTACGCATGAACTGTGCACAGTGACTTCCTTCCACAGATGAGAGGATTGTGGGCGGGGACTAAGTTTACAGTGCAGAAACATGACAAACATTGTCAGCCAGGTGGTGGAGTTTAACATCAACAGTGATAAGTCACACTGATACTGTGTCCCCTTAATAACATGTGATGACAGTGGCACTTCACTTCTGCGGTCTTCCTCACCCTCTGATCATGAGAAACATAAGACAAACCCCAGTTGAGGCACATTCTCCAAAATACCTGACCACGACTTCTCATAACTGTCATCAAAAACAAGTAAAGTCTGAGAAACTGTCACAGCCACGAGGAGCCTAAGGAGATGTGACAACTAAATGTAATGTGGTGTCCTGGGAGGATCCTGGCACAGAAGAGGGACATGAGGTAAAAATTAATGAAATCTGAATGAAGGATGGACTTTAGTTAATAATAATATGGCAATATTGGTTCATTAATTGTAACAAATGTACCATACTAATGTAAGATAATAATAGGGGAAACTGAGTGTGGGGTATATGGAAATTCTCTATACCATCTTCCCAACTTTTATGCATATCTATAAACTATTCTTCTAAGAAAGTTTCTTTAAAAAAATTTAAGTTCCAGGGCCCTACCTCCAATAATTCAGATTAGGAAAGTCTGTGGTGGGGTACAGGAATTTGCATTTTTTACAGGACCTCTAGATGATTACGATGCAGATAATTTGGGGTTAAGAAAACACTGTTTTCTGGGGGTGGAGTTTGGCTGGGGGGAGGTAATTCACAAGAAACCTTTGCCCAACTCTCTTCTTACCTTCAGAGATTCTTCTGGACCACCCACTTGTGGTTGCCACTGTATTCTGACCGCAGATAAGATGGGGGTGAGTTTGGATAACCACGAACAGTTTGGGTTCCCTGCCCCTCTAAGCAGCACTATTGTAAAAGTTTCCATTTGTTTAAAGCTGTTAAGTTTCAGCTTAATTTGTTACGCAGCAATAGATAACTAATATACCACCCGACCATGAAGCCAGAGACTTTCATTTCCAGTGTCTCGGGCTTCACTTGTTATGGAGGGCAGGACCCACACAGTGACAGCAACAGCATGAGTGCTTGTTAAGTGGCTCAACAGCATGAGTGCTCAGGTCATACGGGGCACCTGCCAATATCCGATTTACATTTTTCTCATCAACAGATATATGGGGGGCTTCCCTGGTGGCGCAGTGGTTGAGAATCTGCCTGCCAATGCAGGGGACACGGGTTCGAGCCCTGGTCTGGGAAGATCCCACATGCCACGGAGCAACTGGGCCCGTGAGCCACAACTACTGAGTCTGCGCATCTGGAGCTTGTGCTCCGCAACAAGAGAGGCCGCGACAGTGAGAGGCCCACGCACCGCGATGAAGAGCGGTCCCCGCTCGCCGCAACTAGAGAAAGCCCTCGCACAGAAACGAAGACCCAACACAGCAAAAATTTAAAAAATAAAAAAAGTTAAAGGCATTAAAAAAACAAAACAAGACAGATATACGGGGGTAGGCGTTTTCCATCCCAGTTACAGGATGAGAAAACTGAGACTCAAACAGGGAAAATGACTTGCCCAAGGTGGCAAAGAAGGAAGAGCCAGGCCGTAAATTCTGGTTCATCTGATGCCAGAGTCCTTTCCCCAACCACAATGCCCGCACCACTTCAAACTCAACTTCCTCCTCTGCTCCTCCCTCCCCGTCTTTTCAGATTTACTGAGCTGAAAGCTGGCCCTTCTGTGAAGCCTCCTGACACCACCGTTTACCCTGCTCCCCTAGCCAGTCCCTCCGAAGGCAGCACACAGTTATAGACACAATCACGCCTTTAAGCCATCAATCCTCTGATGTGTCCCTCTTCCTCATCTCAGTTAATAGCATCTACTCAGTTGCTCAAACCCCAACCTGCCATGCCAACCTCGATCCGTCCTTTTCCTTACCAGCTCTCCCTGTGACGTGTGACCCATCAGCAAGTCTGAATCTACTTCTAACGTGATCCCTAATCCTTGCGCTTCTGGCCTCTTCACTGCTACTCCAGCCCAGGCCACCGTCTCCACTGAGAGCCTTCCAGCTACTCTCCAGGCTTCCCGTTTCACCGCCCACGGCCCCCACACAGCAGCTAGAGCTTTGAACAGCCTCCCCTGGTTCCCGTGGCAGAGTCTGCGCTTTGCCACACCGTGGCCTGGAAGCGGGTCTCAGCCTCAGCAGCCTTCTCAGTGTGGCTTCCCACCCCCGCGCCATCCACCTACCAGTGTCTGCCACTCCCTGTCACTCCCTTGAACTTGGCCCCCTGCTGTACTTTCCTCATGTCGCTTTGTGGTGGACACAAGGTCTGACTCCCCAGTGGCTATTTCTGCTTCCTCTTCTTTTCCTGGCAAATGGGATTCCAGTTTTGATCGGGTGACAACAAATTTGAGGGAACACACTGGTTCTCCCCAGTCCTGGAACTGGGGAGAACCAGGGGGGGACACAGCTTGTGCTTTTGTCCTGGAGACAAATCTTGAAGGTCCGGGATAACGGTGGCCACTTCCCTTTCCACTGCCAGGGATCAGTTTAGAAAGAGCATGGGCTACAGTTCTGGCTGAGGAGACGTGAGGGGCGTTCTGTTGGGCGCTGCTACAAGCTTTCCTCACTCTTAAAAAGGGGAACAAGGAAGGGAGGGAGCTGCTCTCTGCCCTGCACCCTCTGAAGGTTTGGGTGCTCGGCGTAGAAGAGGGGATTCTTGCTGCTGCTGCAGCCAACTTGCTGACGCTGGCCACTGCTGGCAGGCCTTGACTTCACCGTGGAGCCGCTGGCACCACCACGTGTCCTGAGAGCTTAAACCTACGCTGACGACTCTGTTATTACGGCCAAAAGCATACACACTATAGATATCTAAAGTCGCCTTTTTGCGGATTTATCACTGCTCCCTTC